AATTTGTTAGCTTGCACTTGAGTTTGAATCTTCATTTCAATATCTACTTGTGAGGAGTACCATATGAACTTGTGACTAGTTGGTCGTGGTTGCATAATTCTATTGTACTTGAATCATAAAAAATTTAAGTAACCAAGTAAACTTTCATGACAAAAAATAAGTTAAACTAGTTGATTAGGACAATTTATGTCTACTTGCGCTTAAGTTCGAATATTTTTTGTCGACTTATTATAGTATTTATTGATGAAAGAAAATATGTGCATACCTTCAACAGCCATAAACCTCACATCCACTTTGCATAATGTAAAGGCCAAATCAAAGTGTAACATTAAATTTGAATCCTTTTTGTGATTGAAAATGATGAAAGGTGACCTTCAAGGTTACGTGGGAATTCATCTTTCCCATCGTATATCTTTAAGCAGAAAACGAAAGGGATGGAAGAAAGAAGTTCGATTAAATTATTTGATCGAAACTAATATTTGGCAACGAACGATACGTTAAAATTAATGTCAATTTACAACATATATCCTATTGCTAGCCATCCATAGTGGATCAAACCCACAAAGCTTTCATTAGTCAACCCCAACGAAAAAACCAAAGCAATATATGGTCATTTTTTAATTAATTAAACTTGTTTTCCCTCGTCAGTACGCCTTAAGTTCATTTTAATATATAATTTTCTTTGTACAAATCAATTGAAAGTCATGAGAAGGACGGATGAACAAAATGATTGAGACATCTTAGTAGTATAAATTAAACTATAAGATTGTTTGAGTACAAATCTCAGCAGTGTAAAATCGTAAATAAAGCTAGCTTGTCGTTAAATAATAGCTATTGACAATTGCATTGATCGGTGACAATTGAAAGGTAATATCATGAAAAATTAGTATTGCCTGGTTATTAATATTTATTAATTAAGATCTTATTAATTTTCAAATTTATTAATATACAGTCTCTACCCTATATTGAACTACATTATTAATGTCGGTCTCACCGCATTCAAAGCTTTCCTAATATAAGTTTTTGTGATCTCTACCAAACATGAAGAAAAAGGAAGTGTACATCCACATGCATGTGTGCAAGAGAGAGAGAGAGAGACTTTGTGTCCGCAATCCATGTGATTGCTTTAAGTAACAGCAATTGACAATTGACAATTGCATTGATCGGTGACGAGTGAGAGGTAATATCATGTGGTCTAGTTATTAATATTTATTAACTAAAATCTTATTAATTTTTAAATTTATTAATATACGATATTTACTTACATAGAAATACATTATTAATGTCTATTTAATCGTATTCAAAGTCTTCTTAATATAAGCTTTTGTGCTCTCTACCAAACATGAAGAAAAAGGAAGTGTACATCTACATGCATATGTGCATGTGAGAGAAAGAGAGAGAGAGAGAGAGAGAGAGAGATTTTATACATAGAATCTCAATTGAGACTTTAGGCCATTTTCATTACTGTTAATTAATTTTATCACTAAACGCATGTCTCATCACTATCAATTGATTTTATCACCAAGGCATGTCTCGCTATTATCAGTTAATATTAAATTGGACTTTCAATAAATTATCCGTGTGAAGCTCAACAATCTCAGTATTTCACGTTACCCAATATATTTACTTATTCTTCACGCGACCTCAAGCCAAACACAATTTTAGATGCTATAAATGCCGGATCATTTGCGAAAGAGTCGATCATTGTTAAACTAATGTACACGTTGAGCCAAAAATTAGCATATATGTCCATTTTTGTGTAGAAAGTATTTGGGTGATAAGATAATGCATGAATGTAGATGTCATGCTGCATAAATTATCCTTGAAAAACATACAAAACCATGCGTCTCATGTTGCTCCCTCGCCACTTTAAGCACAATGCGATTACCCTTGTTCTTTTTTCTCCTTTTTCTTCGGAATATAAGGCAACCCATAAAATTAAAATAAAAAAAATATTTCAGACAAAAAAATGTGAGAAATGAAAAAGGACCACCATTTTTTTATGAAAGGTAGCGATGCAAACTTCAAAATTTCGAGAAAAAGAGTCGCTTGTAGAGAAGTTTGAACAAAAATGTGAAACTCATAAAGTAATTTTCCCCACTTTTGGAGATTTTTTTTTTTTAAATTATGTGGACTATATTGTGTGAGTACACCACTTTTAGATATTTTGCGTCAATAAACTAAATACATGCCAACAAAAATATTTTTTATTTTATTAAACCCGGGTGCCAAGTACTCGTTGCACTCTCCTCTTTTATTAGAGTACTTTGCGATTTTTCTTGAGTGGTGCTATTCACGTATCTTTTTTACTTATTATACGACATTTGAATTTTTAACCGTCAAACCGAATAAGAAGATTAAAATATAAAAATTAACAAAATTATGTGAAAAATAAAAATGAATGTAAATATCACCACTATTATTTTACGTCTTGTTAGCAATATTTGCTATAGTAAATTTTTACAAATAGTATGAGGAATATTTGCCAACAGGATCCTCTCCAGATACTTTTGGTGAGAATTCTAGGGATCCTTAAATCATGTTCGTTCATCGTATATCGTACAATTAGTTTTTATCAGGTACTGTTTGTATTTAATTTTAAATAAAAATATTTCAAAAAATTTCTGACCTTACAATGTATAATGAATGAATATGATTCACGGATCTCTAGAATCCTCACAAAGAAGATCTGATGAGGATTCAGATTCGAATATTTGAAAAAATACGGGAAACTTTAACGAAAAGCTTCAGTACTGTTCACTTAAAAAAAATTATATTTTTATACTAAAAAGTTAATCCTGGTATAATTTAATTTACCTTTTATTTTATTCTTATAGTTAAAACTCAAAATTTTCAAATTTTTTTCTTTAATTTTTCTAAAAATATGAGTCCAGTCCCACCACATTACCCTACCCTACCTCGTACTTTTTTACTAAATTTACTTCCCACTATTTTCTTCTTTTCAATCTTTCGCATTTCCGTTGTGGTCCCACTACTTTCCACTTTTCCCATCAATAAATAATTTTGTATTTCAAGCTATCGAGAATCTAATTTATTATCTACCAGTCAATCTGTCATTGTCTTCCCCGGTGCGGAGTAGCTGTCTGCCATGCGGTGATAAGTACGAGTGCTTATCAGATCCGATCTTCGAATTGTGTTCCCACTTTTCTGACACTTAAATATTTACTCTCTTTTTTACTTCATCCCAAGAAAAAATTTTTAGTTGTATCGAGAATATAAATAGTACATCACGTATTTTAATAAAAATGATGAGAAATTTTATTTTTTAAGTTATTAAATTTTTAGCACACATATCTTATCATTTTTATAATGACACATAATTTATCACTCCGTATACCGATCACATTGAAAAAACTTTTCATTTCTAGGAAGGAGACTCTCACTGCTTTTTTCCTCTCCCCTCTCTCTTCTCCTCTCACGGTTTTTTTTTACTTTTTTTCTCTCTCTACAAGGATGCAAAAACAATGAGGGTGGGTGAGAACAAGAGAAAAAAAAAAAAAAACTAATGAAAATAGTTTGAAAACTTTGAATTTTAATGATAAAGACAAAATAAGGGATAAAGTGAATAGTACCAGGTTTGACTTTTTAGCGTAAAAATGTGATTTTTCGTTAAAATGAACAGTACCGCGGGCTTTTCGTGAAAACTCCTCCAAAGAAAACGGAGAGAATCCTAGTACCTTCCATAGATCAAAACGTCATAGATTGTTGTATGTAAAACGTCAAGAATCCTAGTCTCCTCTTCAAATCATTTTCCCTCACTGTCATTCTCTCCTCTTTCATTTTCCTCTTGGTTTTTCTCTCTATAAAGAATCTCTATAAAGAAGTTAGCACAAGATGTTGACGTGACTTAATCATGACCTTCAAATGAGAAAGAAGAGGAGAAAAGGAGAATATGAAGAAGAGAGAATCCTACCCCCAAAATTCCCCTTAAGAAAAAAACAGGCTACACTAGCAACTTCCAAACTCTAATTAATTACGAGAGGTCTCAAGTTCGATATAAACATAATTTTGTATGCATGAGATATCAAACTATGCTAAGCATATGTTTTGCTCGTCAAATGATAGTTTAGAGATGTGATTTCAGGTAGCGCATCATTTTACATTCATACACAAACTTTCTTAATTTTAACATTTGAATTGAATGAATTAAAAGAAAACTAACAAACACTGTATAGAATGACAAAAAAATATGTGAAAATTATTTTTCATATTTTATCTTTATTAAAAAAAAAAAACAATAGCCAAAGAAATTTGGTGCGGCTAACGTCTTGCAATATTGAATGAGAACCATAGTGGTAAATGATGTGAAATTCGAGTAATATTTTTAAACTCCCCATGTAAAATTAAGGAGGTTATTTTTACATGATGTGAAATATCGATTAATATAGATTATTTTACTCTATATTTCAAGTACATCGAAAAATCTCTTTTACTGAAGTGGATTTGACTCAAATGTGACATTCTGCTCATTGGTTTATAACGAGCTTAAATGTTTTCTTGGGCAAGCGACCAAGAAATAATCATTATCCTTAAACATGAAATCAAATATATATATATATATATTAACAAACGATATTAACGATATCTAAAAGAAGAGCGTTGGTTTAGCCTCACAAAGAATTAGCAATAATGTAGTTCAAATTCACATTTGGCGATGATTGAACCTAAGACAAACTTACAAGTGAAGAGAAATATCACTAACCATAGTATTAAGTAGCAAATATTTCTTTATTAAATATGTATTTTTAATGTTTAATCATAATTTTATATATCAAATTTAATGGCAAACGACCACCATTCTTTTTTTTTATTTATGAAAAACCATCAATTTTTAATAACTAACAAACGAGATTGAAATACAAGTGTTCACGTCACTTGTATTTCTTTTAACAGATTATTTATAAAGAAGTAGGAGAGTAGACTGAGAAGAGTGGTCTAAGCCTCATAATGAGCTAGTAATAACATGGTTCAAATTTACCTTAAGCGAAAATCAAATATAAGATCTCTTATTTACAAATAAAAAGAAATACCATTAAACCATAATACTAAAAATAATCAGGTTATTTACATTTTAGTTTAATTGATCGTCTTCTATCCTAAAACTATCAAAATCAAAGAGACTTGTCCAAGTATTTCTCTTAAAAAAATACACCAACATTTGCACACATGGCCCCCACTTTCCCACAAATTTGAAGTCCAACGTATTAAAAATAAAAAAGAAAGAAGAAAAAGAGTGCAAACTCGAAAGTTGTACGATGGCCATCTCCTTTTCACCGATACTCTCTCGACCACTCAATTCGCGACGCGGCATTTGAGACGTTATCTTATCAACCACACCGCAACCGTAAGGAAACCCACAAGAGTCGCTCTCACTTTGAGTAACTTATATAAGACGCATTATTTTTCACTATCATATATCAAGTTGATAAAATAATATTACATTGGAAAAAACTACTACATAACGCATTATTGAACGAATAATACGTTAATAGTGCACCAGTAGTATGTAAGTTTTTATTCTCAAATATTTAGATTCCGTTTCTATGAAATACTAAAATAAGATTTAATTATACTAAGGTCAGATTTTTTTTTTTTTTTTTTTTTTTTGGGTAAATAGGTCAGGGAGAAATTTCCAACATGTGGCCATCGGTTCATTAATTGACCCAATTACCATCCTTCCTTTCCCCTGTAATAAACTCAAATTATAATACCTTATCAAGATTAAATCATCAGTTGCTACCTAACCGTGGTGAGGGCCTAAACCCAAAATATATGCTACTATGCTCGACAAATTCAAAGCCTTAAGGACATACGAGATACCTTTTTTATTTGACGATATTCTAAACTAATTTAATTAACGGTTAAGAATTCAATCTTGGTGGAAGAACTACATAACGCATGTATGAGGCGTGCAAGAAAAACTAACCAGAAACATAATTTAGGAAACACCCTCCCACAGAACAGAATAATGAATTTGCTGATTGATGAATTAAACAAAGATCCATATACAAGCATACATACGTACAAAGGATTAATGTTACAGCATCTTACCTCAAAATCTGCAAACCTTCTTGCATTTGCATGCCCCATTTTCGAAATTCTCCGGTGAAGGCGACAGCTGATTAGTGGTAATGAGCCTCATTTTGTATCAGGAATCAGCAACTTTGGCGAATATCAGGGAGGCATGATTGGCAATTGTTGATTCCGGAGACTGCCGAAGCTGTCCAATCACAGTGAACAACGGTGATGAACCGAGGAATTGTCTGCAAGGCTGATGCGAACACATATTTGCCAATGCAATCAGAGCTATTTTAAGAGGTGACTCGTTTACTGAATCTTTTCTACTCGGCGGGTTCAGTGCTACCACCGAACAATCAGCCACCAACTTCAGTAAAGACTACAACACAAAAGTGAGGGAGTTCATGATTCTATCCTGGCAATGTATATAGAAACAAAGCTTGAAAAGAGGTTTGATTTCGAAAAGCATGGTTAGTGTGAATATCTAAGACAGAGACATCAATTAAGACCGCAAACCTGCATGGCTCCTTTGGATACAATGTCTTCCCAAAGCTGATCAGAGTGGCGGACAAGATTGCTTAGTGCACCTGCTGCATTTGCTTTAGTCTTGTCTTCTTCAGACGAAACCAACAAATTCGCAAGAGAGGGTATGGATCTTCGTAGCTCTTCATATAACATCTTGTCATGGTAGGCAGCATTGCCAATCTGCAGAGAGAAATTAAGTTCAACAGTTTAGGTAGACACATATTCTTAATAGGATAGTGAAGAACAAAACTTAATTGATCTACTGCAACAGACAGCTCAAAGTAACATAAGAGTTTTAATTCACGGGAAGAGAACTTACAGCAAAGCAAGCAAATTTTCGTGTCCGTTTATCTGGATCAGTACATCGATCAATAAGGAGATCAATGATTTGATTCCTTGCCTGAGATCATCATATTCCATTGTAAGATACAAATAAGCAATCCAATCTCCTCCATATGTCTATGTGCTTAAAGATGATAATTAGGATCGCTTTGATCATCAAGACAGTGTATTCGCAAAACCTTAAAACAATATATCCTTCACTACTTACCAGGGAACTATAAAAGTAGGAGCTGTGCCGGCACATATTTCCTAGTGCACTGCAAGCCTTGGAGCGCACATTAGGATCTTCATGGGTGAGAAATTCCTTGAAGAACTCCAATACAGATGCTCCATTAATGTACTTGTAGAATCCCTAAAGACCAAAAGGAGGAAGAAATCAGAAATAAAATGTTTCTTTTTTACCTTCCTATTACTTAGATGACAATGATTCCCCTAAACAATACGATGTTCCTTCCACAGCTCAGACACCAACATTAAAAAGATGAACATATATTGAACCACAATATTACATCCAGCAAGAACTATATCCAATCAAAAACCAAATCTGACCTTGTCCATGCGAGCCAAATCAGAAACAATCATCAGAACATCCAGCATCACCTCTCTTGGACTAGAATGGTCCAGCAATCTTCTCATCCTTTTAGGATCCAGCAAGCCTTTACCCACAATTTGAAATGCCAATGGTTGGTAACCAACCATTTTTGCAAGAAAGGCCACCGGTCTTCCCATGTCCTTTAAATCCAAGTGTCCTAAACACCAAACAACGATGCCTGGCACTCCTACCTGTAAACTTCAGAAGAAATTGAATTAGAAACACAGATCAAGATTCAGCTTATCAATTCATTCTGCTATCTAATATAATAATGATCTATATACTGTGTATCCTCCAAACAAAAATGTCAAGCATCAAATGTACACCATCCTGGAAGACGATTCTAAACAAAATCCACCAGTCTTCACAAAGAGGAAAAATAAAGGAACGAAAATCGAACCTCAAAAAGGTTTTTAATATACTTCCCAAGGTCTTCTTCAATTACTTTCACCATGTCTTTGTCTTCCATGCCAACTCTCAGCCCTGGTGAACCCAGGTTGAGAAGGGCCCCGCTATTAACTGAAGCAGTGGCTGATGGCAATTCTGGAGCATTCTGTACGGCCACAAAAGGAAAGGCCAAGACATCAATTACTGCATTTGTTATATCTCTTACACCATCTTTCCCTCCACCAGGCCCAACCCAAGACTTTACAAGCTTGAGATGCATATCAGCTATCAAGTCAGAGATGGGCTTGATATGATTACGTCTAAGCAGAATCTGATGAAAAGTTAAGGCGCCACCTGAAAGGCAGTGACATATTGATGATATTGTCCATATGACTCCTATAGGGGTAAGCCCAACTTGATCATTGGTGCTACCAACTTCTGGTTGGTTGTTGGCTAACAAATCCACTAGAAGCAGAGGGATATTGCTTGCACACAGCTGTTTAACAGCTAAGGGTCCTCCCCACCTCAGTCTAGACTCCAGCAAGCCAACACATCCATCCCTTAGACCATGCCAATATGAGAGAGTACCACTAGGGCCATTCGAATGCAATTCAATTCCATTGCCTGATGAAAGCTTCAGGTATTCACATAGTGTGGCATTTCTAGGAATCAAAGGCACTGCTACCTCGAGGATAGAAGACTCAACAGAACTGCCAGATTCAAGGGACAAAATGGAAGCCAGTGCTAGCATGGCCGATGCAGCATGAGCTTGAATGGAGGCACTTTTGCTCTCATCAGAAGAAAAATGATGAGCAAGAACAGAAAGTCGAGAAAGCTGCTTCTTTGGAGATGTTGTTAGCATAAATAGTGCAGAATTTCTTCCAGTTGCCTTCAAACATTGTGCAACTGTTGCAAGGATGAGGCATGAATGCAGAACCAAGGTAGTGGGATTGGTTAATTTGTTCTTGAAGGTGGCTGTTTCAATTGCTTGGGGATCTTTATTTTGAGATGAAATGCACAAAGACAACAAAGAGAATATCTCTGAAATAATGGTTCCATCACCTCCACCACTAACAACCGTAGTTACAGGTAGGGAACTAGGCAGGCCACAGAGAACACCCGGAACAATTCCATTATCTAAGCAGCACCTCAACAGTAACTGAAACATGGAAAAATTTGTGATCATGAAAGCTAGATCCAAACACAAATGTAATTAAAAACAAAATTTCTCAAGAAAGTTTCCTTCCTACTTTACAGTGTAAAAAAAAACCCTGTTTACAGGTGGATTTCTTGAGAAATTTTAGGTGTTGTCTTTTGGTGTGCACGTAAATAGGATGAGATAAACACCTGAACGCCAGCATATAGCGAAGCTTCAAGTTGTTGATGAAGGCAATAATGAATAGCAACTTGTACTGCTTTTGATCTAAGGAATGCTCTCGTAATTACAGCAACAAGTTTTGCTGCTTCTGTCCCAATCAAAGAATCTTGATCTTGATCCCTAATGTCAAGTTGGGGTGAAGGCCGGCGCAAAGTGTTTAGGGGGAATAAATAGGCATTTCTTTTCATAGAAAGATTTTCTGATGCATCTATCAGAAACCAAATTGCCGTACATGCCTCACAAGCCGCACACAGCATATTTGAAGAGCCTGAAATAAGACTTGACCCTGCAGTTACTAAGCAGAGACAAAGTTGGTCCACTAAACCAGATGTTTTAGTGTGATTCAGAATCTGTTTCAGTGCTTCATTAGGATCAGAAGCTGCCTCAGGAACTGAAGTTGAGGAAAAAGCTTTAAGGCCCTGTGTGACTCTTCTTAGCATGACAGCAATGCAAGCAATGGACTCATACAAAACTCTTCCAGATGCATCTTCACTACAACCAACAACCTACACATTCAACGAGACCAGAAGTTGAGAACTAGAAGCAGGAACTTAAATTGTAGCAACAAAGCAATATGCACCATAAAAAGAATCATACCTGTGAAAAAATATCTGATAAGACAACCCAGTGCCTGAAATATGAGCCACCAATGCTGCTTCCAGCATTGTCAACCAAAATTTTAATTATTGAGAAACTCTGCAAAAGTTAAAAAACAATGTTTTTATCAGACACCTTGATCATCAAACAGAAAGGGGAAAGACCTATCTCTGCACTTAATGATCTGTTCAACTTAAAACTTCTTAAGATGCTAAGTTTAAAAAACATAGAAGGGATAGAAAACACATTGCAGAAGTGTAAGATGACATGGTGGGGCATGGAGAACATAATATGCTAGAACTTTTTTTTTTTTCTTTTCAAAAAGTTACCAGCAAACAACGCATTAATTTTACCAACAGTCAATCATCTCCACGTGAAAACCAAATTCAAGCAAAGGCCATAGGGATGTGGCAAAATTCAAGATGCAGTAATCAGAGGTAAGAAACTTATAAATGATGCACTTATACCTTCGCTTTTAACTCATTTACTTCAGAAGATTTCATGCTCACAATGATGGCAGAGTAAGCAAGAAGTTCATGTATTATTTCATCAAGCAGCTCGCTGGAATGGAAGGCACCAGCTGCAACTAAGTTTGAAAGAATTCTCAAAGACTGGTTTGAATTAAGAATATCTTCATCCCTGTAAATATTTTAAAACAATCAACTCTTACAGATAAAAAAAATGTAGGTTTCTGGATATATCATTGTCCAATAAATATAGGATTGCAATTCAGCTTTACCTGCAAGAATCTGGGGGTCCATTGGAGCATCTTTTTAGTGGTAACAAAACATGTGCTAATGCTTCATTATCCTGACTTATTATTTGTGCACCCTTAACTGTACGAGAGTTATTTTCCAATCTGTCCAAAATTTGGCAACCTGAAGCAAAATGTTACTAGGAAGTACTAATTGCAATAATTATGCTTCCGTTATAAAACATAAAGCCAGGGCCTCAATCATAATATGTTAAATTTTAATTTATTGAACAAAATAGAGACAGACTATTTTTCCTCAAAATGAACTTTAAATACCTGACTGTTTGACTTCACTAGGATTTGTGAATCCTGGGAACTCATTTGGGGAAGAATTGACTGTTGTGGATTCAGGAGTATTTGCTTGAGCATCATTCTGAAAACATATCCCACTGTTGTTCTCTGAAGAAGCTGGAGAGTGGACTTTACCAATGACAGTGGAAGTATTTTAATAACAATTCAAGAAAACCATTTAAATCTTTGAAGTAAAGAAAAATGTAACTACCAGGAGATGAAACAGCCAGACCATCTGATGTTTGAACTTTGTTTCCTTCACCCCTCCATGCCACAACACATCCCCTTTCTGCAGTAGTTGCAGAACGCATTTCCTGGAAAGATATAATAATTGCTATAGTTATGTAATTCTACAATTGTCATTTAAGATGTTACCGTAAGTACAGGACAAAGATGTATGGACCTCATGTATAGTGAAACATTGTAAAATAACATAAAGGTCTTATTAGCAGAAGTGTTCTATACTTCTGCTAACTTTTCAAAAGTAAATATAGAAAATGCAGATAAGATGAGATATCAGTACCCTAGACTCCAGTTCGGGAGGTGTCTCTTTGACAAATGGGTGTTCCAGAAGAGCTGGCCAAGTCAATCGATTTTGAGGCACCTGTTTCCCAAAAATAATACACCTGTTAACCCTGGAGGCTAGCAGAAATAACTTTTGAAACAATTCAACTGTAAAAGCCATTAGTTCAAATTGTATAGCAAACCTTATCAAGCAATCCCTTAAGAAAGTTTTTAAAACTTGGACTTATGTTGTCAGGATATTTAACTGGATCCTGAAACATTCAATGTAGCATAGATCATACCTTTTATTGACATACCTAACAAAACTCACATCAAATTTGTTGACATGTACCTTAACAATGTGCCTGATGAGTGCATATACAGAGTTTGTATAAAATGGAGGCTGGCCTGCAAATAATTCATATCTGTTGTGTACACAAAAATAATATTTTTCAACAAATATGGAAAAAGAAGAGAAATAAAGATGAGACAGAAAAAATGGACCAACTCAAACAGACTGGAACTTGCTATTCCAACTATATTTATTTTGATTGTGATATATGGTAAACTGGGATGAGTTACAGAAGTGAAAGAATATACTATGACCTGCACAAAATGTCACATTACAGCAACACTAAAACAGAAATAAGGAAAGAAAGCATCTGACATGAAGGAATATATTAAATTAGAGCACTCTTGAACTAAGTTAGAGAAGTAAAAGTATCGCATGGGTCAAAATCTAACAAATCAGAAGCAGAACAGTTTAATCAAACTCAAGGAAATTATCTTGATTGAAAGATAAAAGAAGGGATGCAGCGTACAATATTACTCCTAGAGACCACAGATCTGCAGTGTGGTTGTAGGGTTGTTCCCGTACTAGTTCAGGCGCCATGTACAGAGGAGTACCTAAGGCACATTAATGAAAACTTCACCGAATAAGCAAACACAATAACATAGTTCTTCAGGATCTTTGGGGAGTTTCCTATAAGTTAATCAAGAATTGTAAGCTAACCTTTAATGGATCGCAAAACAACAGTGTTTGTGGACATTGCACGTGCAAAACCAAAATCACAGAGCTGTGACAAACAAGAAAAGTTATCTGCACTGGACATACACTTATAAGAAACACCAGATGTATAAAACAGAAAGAGGGGGAAAAGTAAGAATATGAATTAATTTGATCAGTTGTTCCTATGTTTATATTAAACATACAGAGGTTATCAGCAGAATCAACCTTAACAATAGAACCAGCACCAATGAGAATGTTTTGTGGTTTCATGTCACGATGGATGATACGGTTGGAATGCAGATAATGTAATGCTCTCACCTGTGAAATTCAATACAGGAGAAATTTAACAATATATTTTATGGATAATAAAAGAAAAAGTATAAGCAACAACCGGAAAAACTAAACAGTCAAATGTGATAAATAATTGGGATGGACCCTAAAATTCGTAATAAATAAAGTACCAGCTGCTTTGCAATAGCTTGAACTTGTTCTTCAGGAAGGCACTTATCATCCTCAAGAATTTCAAATAGTTCACCCTGCATACCAAGAAATTCCTTGATAGTTAATGCGTCTGAACACATTCCACAAAAGCTAGATATCCTCGTACATCTGGAAGAGTTTCCAAAATAACAAGCTAGTCTAAATAAATTAATGCAGTCCTATTGAAGAAAGGGATCAGTACTTGTGCAAATTCTGTGACAACACAGAACTCTTGTGGGCTTTCAAATGAATCAAGCATTTCAATGATGTTTTCGTGCTTCAACTTTCTTAGGATCTGCACATTTAGGAACATTGGATATCAACTAACTAAAAACTGAACAGGAAAATGTCAATCATAAATGCTAAACCAAATCAAGGAAGTTTTAAATGTAAACTACGTTTGATTTGAGATAAAAAATGAGTCCAATACCTCAATTTCTTGTCTTAAATTGTGGATATCTTTGTCGCTTTTGCCATGCTTCATAATGAATTTCATCGCAACAGTCTGAAACAGCGACAAAAACACGTCACTGGCATAAACATTAAACATTAAACACAAAGAAGAAGAAAGATTGAAAACAATTACCTGACCCGTGTGCTTTCGCCTTCCCTTGAATACCTTCCCAAAGGAACCTTCGCCTACAAGCTCAATCACGTGGTAGTTCTCGACACCCATCTTTTGAACCCACCGCTTTATATCTCTACTCTTTTTCAGTCCTGTAAGATAAACAAATACGCAAGAAGTACTAAAATCAATCCGGTGCGGCTACCATTAGACTAATTCATGAGATTAAAATTTGAAAACTAATGTTTGATTACCAGTTAACTCCGGAGGCCCCTTGGAGCTGGTTTAGTCAAAAATTGATGCAATTCCCAAATACAAACTCAACCAAACCTAAATTGACATAAATATTTACAAACATAACCAAATTGTGTTTTGAAATTCAATTAACACCCAATTAAACTGGACCCTTTTTCAGCTTAAATGAAATAATAATAACTTCTACTCGTAGATCCTGAAATCAAAATAAAACAAATACCCTAATCATCCTAAAGGATTCTTGGACTGCCATCGGCATTTAAAATCCAACCCAAAAACAAGAGGGAAACAATTGTGTTCGGCACCAAAGCGAAATAAATGAATCGTCGAATAATTTACCGAGCAACTAAATGAAAAGGTAGGCATATTAGGAAAAATGAACAGATGAACAAATGCATACAAAACCCTGAAATTTAATCTGAAGTCTGACTATATAAGGAAATTACAGATAGTTTTTGGAAACAGTATCGAAAGCGTACCTGGGACTCAAGTGAGAGAGAAAAAGAGAGATTTGAAAATTGGTATAGACTGGACTGAGAGAGGTCAGGTTTTTGTGGATTTTTCCCGCTCATCTTTTATTTTCATTTTCAAGTTTTAATGGACAGTGTGTGAGCGACGGGTGAGCCTTATTAAAATGGAGTAGGATTCTGTAACATCTTTGGTCGATTTATTGTGAACGGTCTTGATTAAATTATGTCAATGATCTTCTATCAGATTTTTTTGATGAAGAGAGATTCTGTAACATCTTGAGTCGACTTCTTATGAACGGTCTTAATTAAATTATATCAAGGATCTTGTGTTAAACTTTTTAATAGAGAGAAACTAAAGAGAGGAGGGGAGGTGAGGAGAAGAAACTTGAAGGGTAAAGAATTCTACTCCTATGAAAATATTAGAAATTTTAACTTTGACTTTAATACAATGTACTTGAAATGACATTAAGTAAAGCATTACTTACCACTTAGAGATTTACACTAAAATTGTTTGTTTTGTTGGGCCACATTCTGAATTATACTTTCTCATTCTACATTCTTCTTTCTTTTTATTATCTTGAAACTTTTCTTGATAATGAAATCCGTTTATCTGAAATCATTTAACAATTTTATTCACATTGTTATAATTTCAATATTTAAATAAAAATGTGGTTCATTAATTTACTAAATAACAATATCATATGATCGCTAAAATATGACAAAAAGAATAAACTGTTCAAATCAAGTAACAATGCAAGTTTGGAAGGGAAAAAGAGGAGGTTGAACGACTAGAAAAATTCCAAAATTCCAATTTGATATGAAAATCTCCCGCTACAATTGCCCATAATTACTCAAAAGTAATCTCAAGTAAAGCAAACCCCCAAAAAAATCATCATGTAAAATGACTATTATCTCCCATCACTCAGTCTGTATTTCTGTTTCAGTTCCCACCTGCCTACCATTTGGTTCCCTGGTACTTCCTGCAATGCAGTTCTTGGCTTCTCTAGCATCTGATCTTCTGTCTTGATCCTTAATTGACTTTTCAGCATTTTCCTTAGCTGCCTTAGACTCTTAGCCTCCAATTCGCTCGCCACGCTATCCTTGTCAGTGGCATCCGCGTCTCTCTTGATCTCAACTCCTCCGTTGTCAGTGCCATCATCAATGTTCTCCTCATTGTCGTCAAAGATGTAGCTCATGACTTCTGATCGCTTCTTGCTTGGAGACTTCCCGGGTATTGAGAAAGTTGGACGGGGAAACTGAAGTGAAAGCTGCTCAGCTTCAAAGGGTGCCAATATTGGAGCTTTGTCCACAGCTGGATCGCTTTTTGCACAAACATCAACTTTAGAGTTATTGATCTCTTGCATCTTTGCCCTGGTGACAACTTCTGCTACTTCAGTCACATTATTAGCATCAACCAAACTTTCATCACCAAATTCTTCTCCTTCCGAAGATTCAAATTCCTCACACTCAAGTGAGTTTTCATCCGTGGCTTCATCTTCACTAAATGCTCCTTCAGTGAAGTCTGATCCAGAACCTCCGTCCTTGATAGAGTCTGATTCAAAATCGAATTTCTCGTTATAATCAGCCTCTGGCACCTCATACATTGATTCCTTGCCACCAAGCATAGGCTGCTGTTCACCGGACAAGCTCAGAGTCAATGCCTTAGGCTTAGCAGCTTCTTCTACATTAGCCACATCCTTAACTTCTTCAGTCTCCCCAGCAGCAGATTTCGAGTCAGAATCGTCATTCTCAAGATTTTGATCCTCCACCGCAGTGATATCATCTTCCGGGTTCTCAGCAGCAATAAAATGGTCCATGTCCTCAGCAGAAACATCATCAGAAACTTTAGCAGCCAAACAGTTTTCTGTTCCTTCATCATTAGGTTCTGCAGCAATCACAAGCAGATTCAAATAAGTAAAACGACATGGAGCCCTGAATTTTGAATTGAGAACCATAAAATCAAATGCTCAAATATCTTGGCCACAACAAAATGTCATTAAACTTACTCTTGTCATATGCTGCATCCATAACTTCTGAAACCACAATGTCATCTGAGGCTGACTTTGATTCATATACCTCAGATTCCGATTCGGATTTTTGCTCGAAATCATCTACTTCAATCACATCAGCCTTGCTATTTTCCTCCACATCACCTTTCAACTGCCCTTCATTCTCCAGTGATACTTCAGAAACATCAACTCTCTCTGAGCTTGTCTCCGATACTGTCTGCATACTAGACCCTGTTCCATACCAACAAACTATGTCAGATAACATGATTTTCCATCCAAATATACTTCTGAGAAACAATACATTTAGTTGACAAAAAAGACAAATTACAAGTAACGAAAACTTGATATGCAAGTGAGGAATGGACTTACCCTCATCAACTGAGCCATCATCAGTCTTCTCCGAATCATTATTCATTTCTGTGGAAAGTTCATTCATCTTCAGAGGCATAGTGTTTTCATATCCCAAGCTCAAGCTAGCCATGGTCTTTTCCAGCAGCCTCACGGATCGCCTAGTGTTATACACGCTCTTCTGCACCGAAGCTGTCTCCTTCTGGGTTTCCATCTTCTTGCAAGCTGAAGTGGCAGGAGCCCTTCTCCGGGTGCTTGGTGCAGCAGGAGTCCTAGGCACCACCTCAGTCTTTTCCTGGTCCATCACCTCTTCAGCAACTGCTCGCCTTGTCCCACGGTGACTGCGGGTCAATGTCTGTGAGCTTTCTGGCTCTTCAATGATCGGCTTTCTTCGAACAGAGGTTCTTCCAGCAGTACGAGGGATACTTAATGAACCATTCATTGTTTTCTGCGGAGATTGATTCAGCAAGTCTTCAATTCCTTCCACCTGACATATTAATTAGTAAAACAGTCTGATTAAATGAGAGAAATAATTTCAACCATTCTGTTTGGCTGCAAAGAAAATACATGAATATAAAATCAAATACTTAGATGTTGTTTTCTGATTGAAAATAGGATCAAATCAGCTGTATATTGATTTACATCATAAACAAGCCTGTGATTCTCAGCTACCTAACAGAACAGGATTTCGTAGATGATTCCCCAATTTAATTTTCTTATAAAATTACGATTCAGCTCAAGATGATTATATAGAATTGAGTCAGATTTAGGAACGATCTGTGAGGATTGAACTCAACTCAACACAAATGATTACGAGAAAAAAATAGTCAATGTCGCTTCCCATTTCCCCTTTCCCCTTTCCGGTCATTTTTTCTCACCAACCAAACACAAAATAATGTGGAAAATGCTATCTACAATCCAAATTAAATAGAACAGCAATCTCCAGCAGATTTGAATCTGGAAATGTACCGATCTCAGAGATTTCACTTTTCACAAATCAATTTTCTCCGGATCCAAACGGATACAAACTTAAACATATTTTACATCAAATCGGGAAAAAGAAAATGGGGGCTAAGAGCATTACGAGTTCGAGATTCTTGAGAGAATCAGCCATGGCGACATTGGTGAGGTTGGCTGGGAGTTTGTTCCTCTTGCACAGAGTCTGGAGCTCTCTTCTGGAAAGGGTGGAGAAATCCATGGCGGTACGGAAACCCTAGATGATCAAAACAAGCTGTTTTGGTCTTCGAAAGAGAGACGGCTATAAGATTGAGAGTGAAGGATGTAGAAGCGTTGGAGAAAACAAGTGAGCAATTGGGGATATTTATACAATGAGAGAGAAGTTTGGACAACCCTAGAAATTGTGACCGTTAGAGCGCGGATTTGAAATTTGAAATTTGTTTATTATATTTTTTATTAGGTGCGTGAATCGTATCCTTGAAAAAATTATGACAAATTCGTATTTGGTAAATATATCGGTGTATGTTAAAAATAATTAACACGGTAAATGAATCGTGTTTATATTGCATTGACACTTATTAAATATGAATTCATATTATGATTAATAATCGATTCATAATATGAAGGGGAGATGGAGAGTTCAAAACTATTATAATAATTTAGAAGAGGGGTGGATGAAGTTTCTAACTTGAGACGCATGAGTAAAAACATAACACCCTATCTACTAGGATATTGGATCACATGCACACACAAACTTATAACATTGTGCAACGGTGTGATCTAGGTCAAATTTTTTTCATTCCAAAATCTTCACTACGTTATTTTTTCCTTATTTATTAAACATCGACATCCAATCAAAGCACCTCATCCAGAAACACCTAATATTTCTTGAGGAATAATAATGAGGTTCCTTGGGTGACATGATCAAGAAGAACTTTTTGTTTGGGTCAGTTGGGCCTAGAATGTTTTTGGGCTTAGAAGTTGTAAAAATAGAAGCCCACACATTTAACCGTCCACGTGTTCGAGATAAAATAGCTTTGGCAGCACGAGACCAAAACTCGTCCGATTTCCGCGTGGTAATTATTTGGCATATTTGTCAATGAGCGCTAAACTGGTATGACACTGTTGAAATTTTAATTTTAACCGATTATTTTCTTAAACCTTTATAATTAGCTTTTTTTTTTTTTAAACTTTAATTTTAATCAATTATTCCATTGAACTTTAATAAATAGTCAACTCCATTTGCCGTTAGATTTTAAAATTTTCATCTAATTTTATATCTATCTTGATTACAGGAACAACATATGACAACTATATGAGGACAAAAATGATAGAAAATTGAATAGATGAAAAATTGAATGAAAATTTTAAAATATAACAAGGAAAAATTGGTTATTTATAAAAGTTCAGAAGAGTAATCAGCTAAAAGTTAAGTTCATAAAGAAATTAACTAATTATAAAAGTTTAGAAAATAATCAGTTAAAATTAAAATTCAATGAAAAAATTAACAGTTCTATACAAATTTAAGAGAAAAACCGACAAATATGCCTGATTATTTATCCTCCCAGACGGAGACCACAACGACACAAACCCACTGTTTGCTTGCTTAAGCCAGCCCACCTTCTTCAACCAAACCATCCAATATTATAATATATATATATATATTTTTTTTCCAATTTTTTTATTTTTATTTTTTATTTCTTACAGAGACAGAGAGAATAGAAACAGAAGGCCGGAAAAAACAAATAAAATAAGACACAGAAATGAAAAATCCCCAATTCTGAATGGAAGCCCTAGCCCTAACCCTAACCCTAACCCGAATCCCTCAAATTGGACCCTCCATTTTCGTAATTCTTCGGATCTTCCTTCCCGCACTGCTCTTTGCTGGAGGCTGAGCTCAGCTCCGACTTTCTCCATTGTTCGCCGACCGAGAGAAATACAGAGAGAGGAGAGAGAGTGTGTGTGGGTGGGTGTGTGGTGCATGCGTTTATGTGTGTTATGGATAGTACGGATTCAGGTGCGGGCGAGTTCAGTGTAGGATCGATCGTCTGGGTGAGGCGGAGGAACGGGTCGTGGTGGCCGGGGAAGATAGTGGGCCCGGAAGAGCTCTCCACTTCGCATCTCACGTCGCCTCGCTCTGGGACCCCCGTCAAGCTTCTTGGCAGAGAGGACGCCAGTGTGTATGTCTCTCATTTTTTCCCCTTTTCAGTAAATACTTTTTAGTCTTAGCACTTTGGGTTGTGGTATGTTTATCCAGAAATTAGAAAAATAATAAAGTTTAGTGAGTATATTATCATGTTTTATTGTTGAATGAGCCGAAAAACTTGCGCTTTTATCTGTTTTACTTGAACAAATCACAACATATTGGAGCAGAAGTAGAAACCCATATCAGAGAAATACTGCAACTTTGTGGCCAACCAAGTTTTTAGGGCTAAAAGACACTGAAGATGAGATTATGTATGGAAAATGCATTGTTAGACTACTCTTCGGGATCAAATGCAATGTTAAATGCCAGGACTGAAACCCTATTCTATGCATACCTTTAGGTACACCTTGTCATGAAATACTTTGGTTATTTCTCAAAGGATAAAGAACCAAGCCCCAAAAATTCTGTATCTTTCATATTTTCATGATGTTGTTGTTGTAAGGTATATCTTTTATGTTGAGATTTATTTGTTAGCTGGTGAGTGGTTGGAGCACAGTAAAATCATAAGAGCAGTGGAATTCTCGGAGACGTTGTAATAGTACCATGGAGTCCCCTGTCATTATTTCCATGCCAATTTAATGAACTGTGTTCAATGTACATACAATTGGTTGTCATGTAAAACTATTTAGCAGAATCCTTCGAATGGTTCTGGCCTCCAGAGAATTATTACATACTGCTGACTCTTTTGGCCTTATCTACCTAGCGGAAAATTTCATTACAAATTAGTTAAGATGGATTTCATTAACTATGTTATTCTCGCAGAATAGTCTAATTCAAACTGGAGTCTGTTCATACTTGCTGGTTCTTGTACTCTCATGCCTTCTTTGGTTTTATGGTTTTACCTACTGTTATAGTAATGATATTCAGTGGTATTTCATTTCAGTGACTGGTACAATTTGGAAAAATCGAAGCGTGTTAAGGCATTTCGATGCGGTGAGTTTGATGATTGTATTGAGAAGGCTGAATCAGCGCAGGGTATGCCTATAAAGAAAAGAGAGAAATATGCACGTCGAGAAGATGCTATTCTTCATGCACTTGAACTTGAGAAGCAGCTATTGAAGAAACAAGGAAAGTTAGGTATAAATTCTGAACGCTTGAACAGTAAGTTATCTGGTGTTGTGAAAAAGGAGTTAGTTATATCTTCCGAGAGTTTGGGAATTGACAATGTAAAACTTGGAAATTCCAAGTCACATATGTCTCATAGAAACGACATTATAGGCAGTCCTATGCCTTTTGAAAGAGTCAAAGAGGGGATTCAACCGAGTGGTGATGATGATCATTCTGAAGTCATGCCTCGGATGAGAGGCTTGCAAGACTTTGGTCTCAAAATTGCCCCTTCAAAGCGAAAAATTTCTTCTCTTGCTTCAAATGGTTCTTGGAAACCCACATTTAATGGTACCAATCCAGCTCTTAGTCATGGTGGTCTTAGCATGGGAAGAACAAGTCATGTGAATGGTAAACATTCTTTAGAGAAACGGAGAAGGTCACATGATGGATTGAGTGATGAAATTTTGGTCAAGAGACCTGATAAACGTCGTCCTCTTGTTCAAGTTTTGCAGAATAGTGCAAAATTAGCAGTCCCACAGTGCTTGCATCCTGACAGTACTACTCTTTCTACTTCTATTTCAGGAGTGGAGTCGACTGGAGTTATTTGCAAGGCAAAGAGGAGTAAAATTGTATATTTGCCAGCTGAGTCTGGTGAATCCTTGGAGTACGAAGCGTCTCCTTCAAACCATGTAGCGATCTCAGCTTCCCCAGTTGGTGCTCGTCCTCATGCTGAATCCATGATTTCAGAGAACACTTCTGGCTTTACAGAGGATGACTCTGATTCTTCTGAAACTGATACTTCCGAGTCCGAGTCGGATTCATCTGAGACCGAACCAGATATGGATGAAGACATGCCTTTACTTTCAGGTTCAGCTTTTTACTACCTTTATATTTTGAAATTCCATGGTTTATGAGTTGCTAGATTGTCTGATTTAAAATAGCCCCACTCTTCATATTTGTTGGAAAGTTCAGCTCTATGATTCTTATTTATAATACATATGCTACATGCAATATTTTGAGTTCTTTTTGCATGTACCTCCATTAACGTTTGGTATGAATATTTTGATCTTTTATGGAAGATTCGATCTGTAGCATGTTTCTCATCTTAGTGCGCAGATTGTGATTTGGCAATTATGCTTTTAAATGTTTGCATGCGAACTACAGTCTATTGTTTTAACATAAATGAAGTCTATCCTTCCTAATTCTACCTTATTTTATTGTTTATATTTGTAAGTATGTGTTGTTATAACTTGTGGAGTATGCACTTTATGCTATTGAGTTGGTTTCACTGGCTTTGGCCTCAATTGTTCATGATGGCTTCGCCACTTCTTTGTGAACACCCTCTAAATTTTGTCTGTAAATCAATCTATAGTACCAGAAGTGGGAAGATATGAAGCACAAGAACACAAAATCATGGTTGATGAGGAGCCTGATGAATTCTCGCATTCTGGTGATATGTCTCACCTCTATAGTCATGACTCTTTATTTGCTAGTGAAGCTGTTTCCAAATGGCAGTTGAAAGGGAAAAGGAATATCCGCAATCTTACGAAAAAGTCAGTGGATGCAACTTACGGCAAAGGCTATAATTATGGACCATATTCTGAAGAAAAGGTATGAACTTTTACCTAAATTATTCTTCAATCTCAAGTTTCCATTGATACATCAATGTTTTAAAAAAGATCCTTGAGGTGCGCCTAGGCAGCTTTGGAGGCGGGGCGGTGATGAAACGCCTCTGCCCAGCTGGAATAGGCTTAAACTTGCCTAGACGAGGTCGAGGCGCACCTGAGGCATTCAACTGGGCATTTTTTCTTTTCTTCAGAAACTGCCCAAGTTCAAGTTCAAGTTCAACTAGACTATATGACACACCCTTTAAGTTCAACTAGACTATATGACATACCCTCCGACTAGACTATATATGAATAATTTTAGGTCCCGTGAGACTATCGCCTCACGCCTCAAGGCTTTCATCTCACGCCTCAAGGCTTTCCCCTAGCCAGGGCTATCCATGAAACGCCTTGGCATCGCCTTTGCCTTTTAAAACATTGTGATACATTGCTCTTAGTGATTATCCTCATAGGGTTAATGTCGATAGTA